TGCAGTGTGAACGTAGCCAATCTGTGGGATTGTTCAGTCAGATAATACGCCGTCATCCTGATTGGTGACATTAAATGTCATGTCGGAGTCACAATCCAAGGCTGTCGCTATGTTAAGGCTGTTTTTATGGGTTCTGTTGGTTTTTCCTAAAAACCTGCTGGATAGCAGGTTCTGGATTGTTAAGGGTCGGGTTATGGAGTCACGTCTGTAACTACCAAGATGGTGGAGCTGCTGAGCTGCTGGTGTCTATGCCCCCTTCAGGAAGAAGACTGTCTCTGCGCCTGTGATTGAAGGCACGAAGCAAAACATGAGACTTCGCTGCAGTGACACACTGACTGAATGTGCAGACTGGGGAATGCTGGTTAACATGTCGTCTTAATTACCTGCATTACAGTCAATCATTCGACCCTGTTCTGTTGTCTGACAACAGAAACATAGAAATACGTTAGTGACAACAGCTTTATTTTAGCTGTGTTAAAATGCAGCACAAGAGAAGAAAACATGTGAACAGTGGCTGAGTTTAGGTTACACTGGAGCTAAACAGGCCATATGAAAACACAGCAACCCGTCCAGTCCTTGTTTATTGGTTTCAGACAGCTGTAACAGTTTCCATCCTGTCTGGCCTGTGGGCACACGATCAAAGCTAATGGCAACATTAGCCACATTAGCTTCACAACAAGCTAACACTAATGATGTCCCTCCTGTTAGAGGGACATTGCCGTAAAACATGAAAGTAATTCGCTGGATGTTCAGTTTCTCAGATGCTGGGAGTGCATGAAGACGCCTGTGTTCACTCTTGTAGCCAACAGCAAACCATTTGGTGTGCACTGTTCGCAACTTTTGGCGTTAACATGAGCAGCTCGAGCAGTAAATAAACCTGCTGTTTCTGGACGGCTCACCTGGAAGCAGCAGTCGGTGAAGGTTGTGCAAAGTTTGGTTCCTCAGCTGGACCGTAGCAGATCAGTGGAGTGATCACCAAGCTGAAAGGCTCTCTAGATGTGAGGGACTTGTGGAATGGGAGAAGGACATTTCTTCACATCCTAACAGCTTTCACTTCACACCTCTAAGTTTACAACAACCACTAAACAGCATAAAATTGACTTTCAGCATATGGGACTTTATGGGCGACCCTGAAAGCTTATCTCAGTTCTACAGACCAGCAGCTCCCAACATTTTAGACTCGTTACCCGATTACACAAAAAGTAATATCTACTTTTTTAATGACCATGCTGCAGAATATTAGCCGTGACTAATTTTAAACGAGCTTTCCCCCGTGTTTGTTGCCGTGCTCGCTACGAGGATGGCGACATCAGTCTGTCAGTCTGCTCAGACTGAAATGTCTTGACAACTGTTGGATGACTTGCCACGAAATGCGGTTCAGACGTTTGTGGCGCTGCCCAGAAGACAAATGTTCACGTCTTGACTTGATGCATTGGGATGACATTTTTGTCCAAACATTCGTGGTGTGCAGACAGCATATCCTCATAGCATCTGTGATCCCCTGACTTCTCCTCCAGTGTGACCATGAGTTAGATTTTTTTGTGTGTTTGCTTGTTCAGTGAAATATCCCAGCTATTGAATGAAGTGTCATAGCATTTGGTTCACACATTCATGTCTTTGCCTGGATGAAAAACTCATGTCATGATGGGGAGTAACGTCCTCCCCATCAGCCTCAGTTGTATTATGGGTTCAGTGCTGCATGCTAACGGATTAAACAAATCTAATAAACATGGTAAAGGTTTAAGACTTTTCTTGTCTGGATAAAAACATCTTGTTTTCTTGTCAGATCTCTTGGACAACCCCGTGTGAGACTCTCAAACCCCACAGGGACCAAAGTTTTAGACAATAGTGACAATACTCTGACCTTTGTGCCAACAGTTCAACAGTTGGGGAAGGGCCATTTCCTGTTTCAGCAAAACAATGCCCTTGTGCCGAAAACAAAGTCAATAAAGAAATGGCTTTCCCAGCTGGGTGCAAGAAACGTGACGGGCCTGCAAAGAGCCCTGACCCATCCAACACCTCCGGGATAAAACAGCCACATCACCAGCTTCACTCAACACACTTCTGAGAGCCTCAGAGTCTTTCTTCCCTGTGGGTTTCTTCACCTGGCCAAACCACAACACCACCAACCTGCTGTCTTGTTCCTTTATCACACAGCTCAGGTTAGTCTGCAAAGCTGTCCCTGCTGTCAGCCATATGTGTGTAAATTTAAACTCTGACAAGGCCATTTTCACAGCTATATGTTGAGGTTGGAGACGACCTCGATGCTCTGCCACACCCTGATGGAAATGGCCAAAAAAAAACAACAACCAAGCATTTGGTCTTGTCCCAATCCTGGATGTGTTTCAATCATGAAGGGAACATTTGAAATTTAAATCAGTTAACTGAAATTGGGAGGTGTCTTAAATTACAAACACATACAGATTAAAAAATACTGGATAAGCCCGGGTTT